CAAAAGAAAATGAGAATTGCAAGGTACTTTCTACCCATTTTTTTTTCCTCCCACAAAATCTTCCATTCCCAAACATAGTGTTAATGTCAATTTCCATAACATTTCCTTCGTATCAACGACGTAGATTTCCCAGCACACTCTTTATAGTATCGTTTTTAATTTATAATCTATCTCAACACATTCGAGATTTGAATTAATTAGTGTACTTCGGCTATAAATTCTCTTTAATTTGTATGAGATTCATTGTATTCGTCTTTTGCATTTCAACCAGCTCTCTAGCTAGCTCCTGAAGATGAAGATGGCAGCAGTGATGTTCCTGATTTTGCTGAATTGCACTCTATGGCGCCTCTCGGTGCCTGTAACTCTCTTTCTTCTCTTTCTTGTTCTTCCTTTTTGAGGGGAAAATTTTTTTCAAAAATTATTGGAGAATAAAGTGACGTTTGTTTATTTATTATTTATTGATCAGACAATTATTATTCTTGGTTTTTTTAACAGATTTTTTTTGGCTTGTGAATATTCGTAGTTTTTTTGGTTGTAAGTTTGCCGGCATATCATTTGCATAGAGGATCCAGAGCTAGTGCACACAACTGGATTTTGCAGTTCGAGGTAAGCTCTTTGATTCTGCTTTATAAAATTAAGCAAATGAGTGAAAAGGAGAGCGAAACAAGATTGGATTAGAAAAAGGCTCCAATTAGAACTTCCCGCATATGCAGTTCTGCTACTGAAATTGTTTTTTGAAAATCAATACGGTATCGTTGTTCTTTTCCTTATTGTCTTGTGACTTGTGAGGCGATATTGCCTTCTGCAATTTGCACTTCTCATACCGCTTTATTGCCTTACTGGAGACCATTAAAAAGGAAACTGGAAATTCCACAGTCGGGATAGGAAAAGTAGCACCAAGCCGTCAAAGCGAAGTTGGGGGGAAAAGCTGTAACTTAACACTTTTGTTTGGAAACACATAGAAAAAAGAAAAAAAGGGAAGAAAGGAAAAGAAGGAAGAAAAAGAAGGTGGTAAAGAAAATTTTGAAAAAAATATATTACTTTCGCCGTCTTAAGATTGAGCAGTTTTCTTAAAACAGTCAAATTAAATCTGCTTGATTTGATTGAATTGTTTTAAAATTCGCATTTGATTCAATTTAATAAAATAAAAATAAAAATTTTTTGATTTAATTGACTTCAATTGAAATCGCAAAATCAAATTGATCAATATAAAAATAAGTCAAAATAAAAAATCATATGAAGTGGTATTAATTCAATCCAATTTCCTATTTGTCCACCCCTACTATCAATCCAATTTCCTATTTGTCCACCCCTACTATTAAGATTGTTATAACTTTTTCTATTTTCCTCTTTGTGCCACCCTACTATTAAAAGATTGTTTATAACTTTTTCTTATTTTCTCCCAGATATATAGGAGTAAATTTTGGAAGAAAAGATAACAACTTTTATTTTTACACTCCTAATTTTATCTCTATTCTTTTATCATTTTCTTAAGATATTAGCTAAAAATATCATTTCCTTTTATAATGCAATGCAGGGCGGCGTCCAAAGCTCTTTAAGATAGTGGGCCTACCTTTTTACATATGAATGGTATCATTATATTCTTACCGATTCATATTTCATGTAACTCTGGTTGCATAGGGATGCGTGGTCGATCGTTGTGTATGAAATAATTTAATATTCACGATCATGACTGTAGGACAGAGAGCCCCAACAACTGCCATCCAATTTCCTATTTGTCCACCCCTACTATTAAGATTGTTATAACTTTTTCTATTTTCCTCCGATATAAGGAGAAAATTTTGGAAGAAAAATAACACTTTTTTTTTTCTCCTAATTTTTCTTTCTCTTTTCAATTTTCTAGATAAGCTAAAATATCATTTCCTTTTTATAATGCATTGGCGGGCCCAACAGCTTTAGCATATGGGCCTATTTTTACATAATGTTCATATATTCACCGATCAATTATGAACTGGTTGATAGGGAGGTGGGTCGTGTTATGATTTACGATCATGCTTGGAGAGAGCCCCAACACGCCATGGATCTACACAGCACATGAACAAGCTGGCGCATTTCAATGGAATCCTAAGCGACGATGCTTCTCTTAATCCAGGTAAATTAACATATATCTTAATTCCAGAATTCACAGTCCATTTTAATTTCCATGTTTAACGAATTAAATTTATTATCTCAATCGTATCTATATGGCATTTATTTAGTTTGTCAGCTATGAATTGCGTTTTTGAAGAAGGGTATTTCTGGAAATACTGCACACATTTGTCCATTTCCCTCACATTTATGAGACTGAAAAAGATGATGGTCATGCTAAAATAAGAAACTTTTTACCAAGTTCAAATAAGGTATGATGGTGATGCTTCGATAATAACAATAATAAAGTATGATAGATGCTATTAGTAGAGGAGCTTTGGTGGATAAGACTTCGGATGATGCTAAGCGTCTTATTTCAAATATGGTTGCCAATTAACAATAATTTTGGGATAAGAATGGATCACACATCCAAGAAAGTTAATGAGGTTAAATCTAATCTTGAGAAACAAATTTCTGAATTAACTTCTTTGGTGAGACAATTGACATAGGGAATATGCAAACAGCTAAAGTGTGTGGAATTCGCTCGGTCTCGGGTCATGCTACTGACATGTGTCCTACATTGTAAGAAGATGAGTCAATTCAGCAAGCTCGAATGTATGATCCCTTTTCTAATTTTACAACCCGGGATGGCATGATTATCCAAATTTGAGTTATGAAAATAACCGAAAGCAGTAGCAACCTAGACAAAATGTCAAGCCCCTCCTAACCAAAGTATTTCTTTAGATGAAATCATTTAAGCCTTAGCTAACAATACTCAACAATTTCAACATGAGACTAGAAGCAGCATTTAAAATTTGGAGAAGTAGGTTGGTCAACTTGCTACTTCAATGACCGAACTCGAGGCTCAAGATTTAGGAAAATTGTCATCTCAGATAGTCATTAATAGAAGGAGAATGCGAGTGATATAGTCTTGCTAATGGAAAAGAAGTTGAGTAAGTCCCTCGTATTTCTATAAATAATAAAAAGCAAGAAGAAAAAGACTCTAAAATTGGGTAAATTATGAACCTGTTATGAATAATGTTGTTCCCCCTTTTCTTCGAATGTTGGCAAAGAGTAAGAAAGAAGAGCAAGAGAAATAAATTTTGGAGACAGTAAAAAAGGTAGAAGTGAATAGGGGGCAAAATCTGAATATTTAGGCCATTTATTGAGTTCGCATGGTTATAAACATAAAGATTCCATCTAAGTATTCTTTTTTCTCTGTGTTGTTATTTTTATACTTACAGATATATGCTCATCCGATATCTTCTGTACGCCTGACGGGCAGGTCGTATAGGCTCTTCTAGGCAATAGGTCAAGGTCTTTTGGTCCAATCGGTATGCCTATTTCGGCTGCTCGTTGCGTCATTAAGAATTGCATATGCCATATAAATTAATGCTCAAAATTAATGCCACTTCGGGAACATTAGCAGTTTTTGCCCAATATCTCTCTATCTATTGCTTACCACGCCAGTTGAGGCCATAATATTTTGTCTAAGACATGTAGGAAGCATTGTAATAATTTCCAAGCCATCCTTAGCCATTGCTACTGGGCTCCAAAATCCAAGGTATACCCCTTTGGTCTGAAAAAGCTCTGTGTGAAGGCCTATTCCGAAGCCGATATCTTCTGCACGCCTGATAGGCAACTCATATAGGCTCTTCTAGGTGATAGTTTAGGTTCTTATGGTCCAATTGGTATGCCTATCTCGGTTGCTCGTTGCGTCATTAAGAATTGCATACGCCATATAAATTGATGCGCAAAATCAGTGCCACACTGGAAGCATTTAGCAGTTTTCGCTCACTATTTCTCTATTTGTTGCTTGCCACGCCATTTGGAGGCCATGATATTTCATCTAAGACATGTAGGAAGCATTGTAATTATTTTCAAACCATTTCGAACCAGTGCTTCTAGGCTCCAAAATCCGAGGTATACCCCTTTGGTTTGAGAAGCTTGTGTGAAGGCTTGTTCTGTAGCCGATATCTTATTTACGCCTGACGGGCAGCTCATATAGGCTCTTCTAGGCGATAGGTTAAGGTCTTGTGGTCCAATCGGTATGCCTATCTTGACTATCCGTTGCGTCATTAAGAATTGCATACGCCATATAAATTAATGCATGAAATTGGTGCCACTTTGGAAGCATTTGGTAGTTTTCGTCCAATATCTCTCTGTCTATTGCTTGCCACGCCATTTTGAGGCCATAATATTTTGTCTAAGACATGTAGGAAGCATTGTAATAATTCCAAGCCATTCCGAGCCGGTGCTGCTGGGCCTTAAAATCCAAGCTATACCCCTTTGGTTTGAGAAGCCCTGTGTGAAGGCCTTTTCCGAAGCCGATATCTTCTGCACGCCTGACGGGCAGCTTGTGTAGGCTCTTCTAGGCAATATTTTAGGGTCTTGTGGTCCAATCGGTATGACTTACTCTTTTTGTTTCGATTTGTCTAAAAATAGAATCTGATTTAGATGGTGACATTAAAAATCTACATCAGAACCTTATATAGCTCTTCTAAAACACAAAAATGTTTTTCAAAGTCACACAGAATAGAATATTAAAACATAATACCGAACAGATCTTTTAATCTCAAATATAGAAAGCACTTTAGAACACACACAAAGTTCTAAAGTTAAGAGTTTAAAATTAACATACCCAATTCTCTTCCAATTAAGCAGAATTGGCTTTCATTTAAATTTTTAGTGAAAATATCTGCCAATTGCTTTTTTGTAGGAATGAACTCAATCACTATATCACATTTTTGAATATGATCACATATGAAGTAATGTCTGAGTTCTATGTGCTTGGTTCTAGAGTGTTGAACTGCATTCATAGATAAGTTGATAGCGCTTATGTTGTGACATTTGACTGGAACTGTTTCTAATTTCATATCATAGTCTACCAATTGTTGTTTGATCCACAAAACTTATGCAACACAACTTCCAACAGTAATATATTTTGGTTCTACAGTAGAGAGAGCAACAGAAATCTGTTTCTTGCTAAACAATGATACAAGGGTGCTACCTAGAAATTGGCAAGTTCCAGATGTGCTCTTTCTATTTGTTCTATTTCCTGCAAAATCAGAATCACTATACCCAATAAGATCAAATGTATCATCTTTAGAATACCATAGACCAAAATTAGAAGTTCCATAAAGATATCTTAGAATTCTTTTTACGACAATTAAATGAGATTCTTTCGGACATGATTGAAATCTAACACATAAACAAATACTAAAGTCAATGCCAGGCCTGCTTGCAATTAGATATAGTAAAGAACCAATCATACTTCTAAACATCTTAATATCCACATCCTTTCCATTTTCATCTTTTTCTAATTTTGAGGATTGGCTCATTGGTGTACTACATACCTTGACATTCTCCATTTTGAACCTTTTTAATAATTCTCGAGTGTACTCGCCTTGTTTTATGAAAATCCCACTATCACATTATTTGATTTGAAGTCTAAGGAAGAAGTTTAATTCTCCCATCATACTCATTTCAAACTCACCTTGCATAATCTTAGAAAATTCCTTCTTAGTTAAATGAACCATATTCATAACTATGCTAAATCTTAATTATCCACATCCTCTTATCTCATTTCAATCTTTTTTTCTAATTTTGAGATTGGCTCATTGGTGTACGCTACAATTACCTTGACTTCTCCATTTTTGAACTTTTTAATAATGTTCCTACAAGAGTGGTACTTGCGCGAATCTTTGTAATTTTATATTGCAGGATTATGAGTCTCCACTGATATACAGTTAACTTGATTCTTATGAAGGTCTCTCATAGGAAGAAGTTTAATTCTCCCCATTCATACAATTCTCCCATCATACTCATTTCAAACTCACCCTATATAATCTTAGAAAATTTCTTACAAAGAAGGTCATTAGTAGAACCAAAGATTATGTCATCAACGTAGATTTATACAACTAGAATGTCAGGTGTTTTATTTTTAATAAATAGTGTAGTATAAACCTTTCCTCTAGAAAAACCATTTTCTAATAAAACTTACTTAATCTTTCATACTAAGCTCCGGGAGCTTGTTTCAAACCATAAAGAGCTTTAGGAAGTTTGTAAACATGATTTGGTTTATCATAATGTAAACATGATTTGGTTTATCATAAACTTAAAAACCAGGTGGTTGTTCTACATACACTTCTTCATTTAGAAAACCATTTAGAAAAGCACTTTTCACATCTATTTGATATAACATGAAGTTTTTAAAATATGCAAATGGCAAAAGCATTCTAATGGCCTTAAGTCTAGCAAATAGAGCAAAGGTCTCATAAAATCAATGCCCTTTTCTTGGTTGTACCCTTAAGCCACTAACCTTGCTTTGTTTCTCACAAAATTACCTATTTCATCAAGCTTATTTCTAAACACCCATTTTGTCCCAATAACATAATGGTTTTTAGGTCAAGAAACAAGTTTCCAAACTTAGTTTATCTCAAACTGATTTAGTTCTTCTTGAATAGCAAGAATCCAACTTTCATTATTTTAAGCATCTTCTAAATTTTTAGGTTCTAATAAATATCTCTTAAATTGGGCTCTAGTCATCATCCTTTCTGAAGGGTTGTCCATGATGTCCTCTTGAGGATGATACTTGTGGAGTCGCCAATCTTTTGGTACTTCAAAATTCTCATTTTCTGTTTCTGGCATTTGACTTTCAGTTGCGTTCTGATCTCATGTTCATTTTCTAGTTCAGCCTGATTTTCAATGCTCTGCTCATTTTCTGGTTGTTCTAGTTGTTTGATTTTTCATTTTGCTTTTCTTGATTGAAATCTACAACATCATCATTTTCTAAAATTCTAGAAGTAGAATCAGATTCATCAAACACAACATGAATAGATTCATCATTTTCTAAAATACTAGGAGTAGAATCAGATTCATCAAACACAACATGGATAGATTCTTCTACATGGATAGATTCTTTCTAGCAGCTAGAGTTTTTTTATTAAACACCTATAGCTTTACTATTACTTAGAATATCCTACAAAAATTCTTTATAAGATTTATATCAAAATTTAGCAAAGGTGATTTTTCTTGTTATCTTAGAATAAAACATTTAACCCAATAAAACATTTACACCCAAAAATGTGAAAATAACCAATATTCGACTTTCTACCTTTGTATGGCTATATGGAGTCTTTTTCAGTTTAGATCTTACCAAAGCCCTGTTTTGAATATAATATGCAGTGTTAAAAGCTTCTACCCAGAAATACTTTGATAACTTTGAATCACTTAGTATGGTTTTGGCCATTTCCTGAAGTATTCTATTCCTGCGTTCCACTACTCCATTCTGCTAGGGTGTTCTAAGTGCTGAGAAGTTATGGAAGATTTCTAATTCTTTGCAAAAAGGATCGAATTTCTGATTCTCAAATTCTCTTCCATGGTCATTTCTAATCGCTAATTGCCGTGATGTTGTATCCTTTCTCATTCTGTATTTTCTTGTATAGATGAACAAACATGTCATATGACTCATCCTTATTTCTAAGTAAGAGTGTCCAGGTGAATCTTGAGTAATCATCTACAATAGCAAATGCATAGAATTTTCCTCCAAGACTAGAAGGAGTAATTGAACCAAATAAATCAAGATGTAGCAATTCTAAAGGTCTAGAAGTAGAAACCACGCCCTTGGATTTAAAGGAAGTTCTGGTTTGTTTGCCCATTTGACAAGCATCACAAATGTGATGATTTGAAAGATGTTTTGGTTTGTTTGCCCAATTGACAAGCATCACAAATGTGATATTTTTCAAACTTTAGCTTTGGCAAACCACAAACCAAGTCTTTCATAGACAGTTTAGAAATAAGGTACATGCTTGCATGTCTAAGTCTTCTATGCCATAACCAACTAGAATTGTCAATAGAAACTAAGCATTTTTCTAGGTTATGCATATCAGAAAGGTCTACTAGTATATATTCCCAAACCTTTTTTCAACAATTAAAGTTTTGTTATCATGCATGTTCGAAACTTCACAATAAAAGGGTTCAAAGATCACTGTTCTATTTTACCACAAATCTGACTTACATTTAACAAGTTATAATGTAATCCTTCTACTAAGCATAAATCTTCTATTAAAGGATTAGAACCTACGACACCAATACCAACAATTTTACCGTTTGCTTTGTCTCCAAAGCTCATTGTACCTCCCTTTTTCTTTTCTAATCTGGTGAATTTCTTTCTATCACAAGTCATATGCCTAGAGCAAGCGCTGTCCATGTACCACATTTCTATTTTCAGCTCACCCCTTAGGCACACCTGAAAAGATCACGTAGATTTAGGTACCCAACTTGTATTGGGTCCTAAAGGGTTAATGGTAACAGGTGTAGATCGTTTTACATTTTTCTTAATATGATTTTTCTTTCTGTTGAGACTACCGGATATTTCAAAGTGCTTCTAATGTTCTAAAGTCATAACATTAGAAGTAGCATTTCTCTTAATAGAAACATGAGATTGTCTTTAAATGCTATCATAGCTAGAACTTGTCTTTTCTTTAGAAAATGATTCTAAAACCGACTTTAGAATTCTAATTTCAGTGTTCATAGATTCATTTTCAGAAATCAGATTTTTACATTTTTCTTCAAAGTGTTTCAGATTTTCAGAAAATTTATCATTACAATCTTTAAGATCTTTGATCTCTACGATAAGATCTTTGTATATAACTTCTTGATAAAAAGCATCTTGCAAATGATTACATTCAATTTTCAATTTTCTGTAATCCTTCTTTTGAACTTTATGCTTTTTAGCAAGCTTTTCAAATTCAGTGCAAAGGTTATTATAAGTATCTAGAAATTCATTTTCAGATTCAAGTTCAAAAAAACTTACATTACCTTTATCATGCTTTTGGTCTGTTGCATCTGCTTTACTACTTTCAACTTTCTGTGTTGAAGTCAGAGTGCTGATTTCTTTGGAGTCAGAATCGATAGTGGCCATTAGACAGATATTCGGATATGGCCATTAGACAGATATCGCATTTCCCTTCTGGTCATTTTGTTTTTTAGAAATTAGAATCGTTTGAGTCACACTAAAGCAACTACAAAATGCCTGCTTTAGCTTTCTTTCTTTGACTTATTTTTCAGCCTTAGGACAATTAGTGCTTGATATAAACGGACTTGTTTGCAACTCATAACAAAACCACTTCAGAAGGTTTTCTTTCTTTAGGCAAGTTGCCTATTTTTTAGATGAATAAGTTTCTTTTTGAATAAACTTTTTCTGTGGCCCTTCCACCTTTCTTGTAGAACCTTCTTGAAATCTCTTTAGCAACAAGTGTTACAATCATCAACTATCAAAATCAAGAAGAACTTTCCTTCACTAGAAACTACTTATTCAAAGTCAGTCCCTTTCTTTTTTGCTTAATATTCTATAGTCAAAGAAGAATTTCATCTCTTGTGAAAAGAAAGAACTTCCCCATAAATAATCATAGTTTACTTGGATTCGCTTTATAGTTCATTACAGTTCCTGAATAAAATCTCATTTTTTAGGTAGTAGTTCAGGTAGTATTCTAAGGATTTTCTTAACAAGATCATCTTCTGAAATTTCTTTTCCAAGAGTTCTCAAAGGATTAACTATATTTATGAATTTGGAATTTAGTTCAGCTATAGTCTCTCCTTCTTTCATACTATACATTTCATATTCTCTCCAAATGATATTGATTTTGGATTATTTCACTCAATCAGTACCCTCATATAACTTTGAGTTTTTCCCAGACTTCTGTTGCAGATTACATCCAGACACTTTGTTGTATTCTATTGGATCTAATGCACAGTGAAAAATATTAATGGCTTTAGCGTTTATAGAAATGTTATTCCAATTAGCATCGATATATTCTTCTTCTGTCTGTCGGACTCTTACATTTTCTACAGTTTTCATAGGAATACGAGGATGAGTAAGAACGTTCCTCTAGCAGTTTATATCAGCTGATTTTATAAAGTTTTCAAAGTTTCCATTCTGATTTTCCAGTAAGAGTAAATTAGAACCATTGGAATAGAGGTGGTCTAGAAAGATTGACCCTTCCTAAAAGATGTAATGAGGAAGTGGGGCTGCGCATGCGATTTTTCTCTTAGCTGTAAGCTTCGTAAGTCAAGAGCAAAGTACTCTGATACCAGATTATGGTTCCGTTTCATGTATGACACAACCCAAAGAGGGGGTGAATTGGGTTTTCTAAAAATTTGGATTTCAAGCAAAGAATCAGAATTCTGTTGTAGCGAAATTAGAAAGCATTTGTGAGAGTTATTTTATCAGTTTAGAACTATTCTTATCAAGTTTAGAACTATCTCACAAAGCTTGTTGCAAATTTAGAAAGACTTTATGAAGAACAGCTATTGCATTTAGAACTGCTTCACAAAGCTCAAGCCATTTTAGAAAGACTCTGTGAAGAAT